GAGGAGGAGGAGGAGGAGGAGGAGGAGGGGGGGGAAGAATAGGCAGGGCAGGTCGGTGGGGACAGGGGCATCGCGTGGTCCTCCCCTCTGTCCGCCTCCCCTTGGCTCAATTGGCTCATCGTCTCACAAGACGCGTCACAAGGCACGTCAGGCGTCCCTCCAAGGATCTCAGAGCTGCAGATGCTGCTTGAGGTGCGGGAAGATGAACTCTCCGGTTACAGATACATGATGGTCTGCAAAAGAGAAGAATGTGGTCGAGTAAGTATACACTCCCGATGAACAACACTGGAGCATTGCCCTCAATTCCTCTCTTCATATCACAAGACCGATTTGCCGCGGGCGGCGGGCGGGTCCGTATAATGTGCCCTCTGACCCCTCAAAAAGTTATCTTCCTATTTGTTGCTTTCCCATTTTCGCCGTCTGCTCGCGCCCGCTCCCCCACCCTCAATATTGAATGATTATGAGCTGTCGACTCGCGCTATTGCTTCCCTGCTTACCGCTTTGCTGAATGCAATGTTGAGGACGGGCCAGGGCTTGAGAGCAAGTATCGGTAGAACTCTCGAGTCACGCTCCAAAAACACGAGGAGACAAAGATAGGCCTGCTCCCCCTGCTCCTTGACTTTGCTCTGTTTGAAAGGATTTGGACATGAGTGAGTGGTAGACAGGGTATAGTCAAGTCAATGAGGGTGCTAGCGTCCCGACAACTTGCACGCCCTCATCCCCTCCCGCGCGTGCTCTTGACTTCTCTCTCGCCCCTCCTATGGAGTTGGATTTCTGCCGCAGCATCCTGCGCATGTCACACAAATGTTGCCAGCACGCGTCCATTGTATTTGCCAGGCCGTCCCCGGATGCGAAGCGCAAAGGAAAAAGGGAGGGTAGCCAATGTCAGACCGGGCTGAAGATGAGCATGGAGGGGAGGGGACGCGGCTCCCAGGGCCGTGAAAGATGGGGTGGTCATTATTTTCGCCATGGGGGACGCTTAAAGACTCGGAGCAAGGCGTGCATGGATGTGACTAATTTTGTATGTTAACCTTTCCATGAATGCACTACTTTGCCCTCGTTGGTGCTCAGTACGCCCCGCATGGCTCGTCTTTCCTACCTCAGCCAGTCCTGTCCTCATTATTCGTCATGCGAGATCCCTTTTTCCCTTTTCTTTTGTCCTCTTAGAGACATCAATTTCCCCTCATGTAATCCAGGTACTCTATTTAATGCAGCGTTCACGGTCGCTCCCTATTAAGCCGTCCTTCCGTCCCTCCCTCAGCCAGCTCCACCGCCCTCACAGCACTCCGGGGGGTCCTTCCGACCCGTCTCTTTCAGGCATCTATGCCTGGTTTGACATCCCCTACCATCATGACCACTTATCCCCACTTCCTCCCGATCCTAAGCACCATTTGGACGTATTTCTTTCATCCTCTGGCCCTTTCCCTCGCCGTCCACAGCCCGTCTTCCTCTTCGTTCACGGAGGCCTCTGGATGCGTGGAGACCGGCGACACCCCTACCGCCCCCACCTGTACAGCAACGTCGGCCTGGCTTGTGCTAGGGCTAATGTCGTCGGCGTGGTAATTTCGTATCGGCTCGCTCCTGCCGTGACCGTCATGGAGCAAGTCAGGGACGTGAGGAGGGCCTTGGAGTGGACGCACAAGGAGGTGGGGAGGTTCGGGGGAGATCCCGGGCGGATCTTCCTGGGTGGGGTGTCAGCAGGGGCACATCTGTGTGCGACGCTGTTGACGGAAGAAAGGAGTGAGATAAAGAATAAGGGTGTGCAAGGCTTTGTGGGTCTGTCCGGCGTCTACAACATTGAGAGGCTCTGGCGGTTGGGAGGAGGGGGGGGAGGGGAAGGAGAGGGAGAGAGAGGAGGAGAAGGAGGAGGGAGGGGGGGTTTGGGCCTCTCGTCCATGATGATCCCCATGATCTTCGGGGATGATGAGACAAATTGGCCCCGCGCGTCCCCTGTGCACGCGATACGGAGGGCGAGGAGGAGGAGGGAGGAGGGAGGAGAGGCGGGGAGCGGGGGGAGTTCAGCTGCCTTGGAG